GAGAGTGCATGTTTTCTCTTTCACAAAGTTGACACATTGTGTACTCGACACTTTCACAAAGTTGACACATTGTGTACTCAACACTTTCACAAAGTTGACACATTGTGTACTGGACACTTTCACAAAGTTGACACATTGTGTACTCGACACTTTCACAAAGTTGACACATTGTGTACTCGACACTTTCACAAAGTTGACACATTGTGTACTCGACACTTTCACAAAGTTGACACATTGTGTACTCGACACTTTCACAAAGTTGACACATTGTGTACTGGACACTTTCACAAAGTTGACACATTGTGTACTCGACACTTTCACAAAGTTGACACATTGTGTACTCGACACTTTCACAAAGTTGACACATTGTGTACTGGACACTTTCACAAAGTTGACACATTGTGTACTCGACACTTTCACAAAGTTGACACATTGTGTACTGGACACTTTCACAAAGTTGACACATTGTGTACTCGACACTTTCACAAAGTTGACACATTGTGTACTGGACACTTTCACAAAGTTGACACATTGTGTACTGGACACTTTCACAAAGTTGACACATTGTGTACTCGACACTTTCACAAAGTTGACACATTGTGTACTCGACATTTGGGTTTTGAGAAAGCTGCCAGATACGTCTATATCCCAGGCGTATTCTGGCCACTATAACATCACATTGCCGGGTTCTTGTTCTATTAGTCCCATATGTGAATGTCTCCTCACTATATCTATCATAATATTTAATGCTACAGCTTTCACGTCTTTGAGAATTGTTAGGTCGGTGAGATCTTCATTAGATATTTGTTTAAGTATTCTCTTTGTCTGCTAATGAAACACCCATATTAATTTCCACTACGGGTTGTATACAGGCTGTCTTTGCAAGCATGGCAACAGTGTCATGCTTTGACATGCCAACTTGTAATTGTAGAAAAAGGAACTTGAATTTCAAATATGCTTTCTTTAGCAGCTAAAACTTTTATTCGAATATCATTGACGTAGCAGAAGCAGTAGTAGTAGTAGCAGGAGCAGCAGTAGCGTGGAGGCAGCCCCCAAGTGAGCCTGGTGACCACAACACCACCCAGGGAGCGTGGAGGCAGCCCCCAAGTGGAGCCTGGTGACCACAACACCCAGGGAGCGTGGAGGCAGCCCCCAAGTGGAGCCTGGTGACCACAACAACACCCAGGGAGTGTGGAGGCAGCCCCCAAGTGGAGCCTGGTGACCACAACACCCAGGGAGCGTGGAGGCAGCCCCCAAGTGGAGCCTGGTGACCACAACAACACCCAGGGAGCGTGGAGGCAGCCCCCAAGTGGAGCCTGGTGACCACAACACCACCCAGGGAGTGTGGAGGCAGCCCCCAAGTGGAGCCTGGTGACCACAACAACACCCAGGGAGCGTGGAGGCAGCCCCCAAGTGGAGCCTGGTGACCACAACAACACCCAGGGAGCGTGCAGGCAGCCCCCAAGTGGAGCCTGGTGACCACACAACACCCAGGGAGCGTGGAGGCAGCCCCCAAGTGGAGCCTAGTGACCACAACACCCAGGGAGCGTGGAGGCAGCCCCAAGTGGAGCCTAGTGACCACAACACCCAGGGAGTGTGGAGGCAGCCCCCAAGTGGAGCCTAGTGACCACAACACCCAGGGAGCGTGGAGGCAGCCCCCAAGTGGAGCCTAGTGACCACAACACCCAGGGAGCGTGGAGGCAGCCCCCAAGTGGAGCTAGTGACCACAACAACACCCAGGGAGCGTGGAGGCAGCCCCCAAGTGGAGCCTGGTGACCACAACACCCAGGGAGCGTGGAGGCAGCCCCCAAGTGGAGCCTGGTGACCACAACAACACCCAGGGAGCGTGCAGGCAGCCCCCAAGTGGAGCCTGGTGACCACAACACCACCCAGGGAGCGTGGAGGCAGCCCCCAAGTGGAGCCTGGTGACCACAACACCACCCAGGGAGCGTGGAGGCAGCCCCCAAGTGGAGCCTAGTGACCACAACAACACCACCCAGGGAGCGTGGAGGCAGCCCCCAAGTGGAGCCTGGTGACCACAACACCACCCAGGGAGCGTGGAGGCAGCCCCCAAGTGGAGCCTGGTGACCACAACACCACCCAGGGAGCGTGGAGGCAGCCCCCAAGTGGAGCCTGGTGACCACAACACCACCCAGGGAGCGTGGAGGCAGCCCCCAAGTGGAGCCTGGTGACCACAACACCACCCAGGGAGCGTGGAGGCAGCCCCCAAGTGGAGCCTGGTGACCACAACACCACCCAGGGAGCGTGGAGGCAGCCCCCAAGTGGAGCCTGGTGACCACAACACCACCCAGGGAGCGTGGAGGCAGCCCCCAAGTGGAGCCTGGTGACCACAACACCACCCAGGGAGCGTGCAGGAACACAGCACCAATATATGAGGTGCTGGTGAGAGCGTCAGGCAGCGACCCCCGCGTGAGACAGCATTGATCAGCTGACCAGTGTAAACAACAACACTGTCAACTGGTAATGGGCATGCCGCTGCATTTATGTTTGACTAGGCCAGCCAGCGTGTCCGCTCGCTCTCCTGCCCTCCTGCCCACCAGCCCTCCTGCCCGCTTGCCCGCCTGCCCACCAGCCCTCCTGCCCACCAGCCCTCCTGCCCGCTTGCCCGCCTGCCCACCAGCCTCCTGCCCACCAGCCCTCCTGCCCACCTGCCCTCCTGCCCGCTTGCCCTCCTGCCCGCTTGCCCGCCTGCCCACCAGCCCTCCTGCCCACCAGCCCTCCTGCCCGCTTGCCCGCCTGCCCACCAGCCCTCCTGCCCGCTTGCCCTCCTGCCCTCCTGCCCGCTTGCCCTCCTGCCCGCTTGCCTCCTGCCCACCTGCCCTCCTGCCCGCTTGCCCTCCTGCCCGCTTGCCCTCCTGCCCGCTTGCCCGCCTGCCCACCAGCCCTCCTGCCAGCCCTTCTGCCCTCTGCCTGCCTGGTTTTATGGTTCGGTTAGTAAGGGACACCTGAATGAGTTATGAAACGAAGGTTGAAAAAGGAACGTAAAGTCAGGAAAATGGAATGAAAGAGAAAAATAGAGACAACGAATGGAGGAAAGAGAAGAATAATAAAGAAAATAAGGGCGGGGAGTAAAGATGGGCCGTTAACGGTTGGTTGAAATTTAAATAACAAATGTGAAACATGGAGCGTGAAACACAAGCGTCCCCTTTCCCCTTTCCCACCACCGCCCTTCCCCTTCCCCACCCTTCCCCTTCCCCCACCACCCTTCCCTTCCATCAATCATCCCTCCCCACCTACCCTCTCCTCTCCCGCGCCCACTTGCACACATGATCCCTGGGCGCCATTGGTGGGTTCTCGCGTGAGGGCGCTCACGTTCCCGCCAAAATGAGACAGCGACATGACCCAAGTCGCACGGAAACCTGCAGGACATGGAGAGTTATGTGTGGAGCACAGGACATGCAGAGTTATGTGTGGAGCACAAGACATGCAGAGTTATGTGTGGAGCACAAGACATGGAGAGTTATGTGTGGAGCACAGGACATGGAGAGTTATGTGTGGAGCACAGGACATGGAGAGTTATGTGTGGAGCACAGGACATGGAGAGTTATGTGTGGAGCACAAGACATGGAGAGTTATGTGTGGAGCACAGGACATGGAGAGTTATGTGTGGAGCACAGGACATGGAGAGTTATGTGTGGAGCACAAGACATGGAGAGTTATGTGTGGAGCACAGGACATGGAGAGTTATGTGTGGAGCACAAGACATGGAGAGTTATGTGTGGAGCACAAGACATGGAGAGTTATGTGTGGAGCACAGGACATGGAGAGTTATGTGTGGAGCACAAGACATGGAGAGTTATGTGTGGAGCACAAGACATGGAGAGTTATGTGTGGAGCACAAGACATGGAGAGTTATGTGTGGAGCACAGGACATGGAGAGTTATGTGTGGAGCACAGGACAGGGAAGGAATGGTGCCCCAACCACTTGTGGACGGTCTCGGGGGATTGAACGCCGACCTGCATGACGCGAGACCGTCGCTCTAACCGTCCACCCCAAAGAATAGGTAGGTGGGATGAAGAGGTTTCGTAGACTTTTCCTTGTTCACCACACCAAGGGAACCGGTGGCATAGTGAATAGCACGCTATACACGTCATCCTTGTGTTCCGGGGTTCGATCCCCGGCGGAGGCGGAAAACAAATGAACAGAGTTTCTTTCACCCTGATGCCCGTGTTCACCTAGCAGTAAATAGGTACCTGGGAGTTTAGACAGCTGTCACGGGCTGCTTCCTGGGGGTGGGGCCTGGTCGAGGACCGGGCCGCGGGGACACTAAAAAAGCCCCGACATCATCTCCAGATAACCTCAAGATAACAGTCACTGAACTGAGAGCAACCATTGAACAAGAATGCTTTCAAATACAAACGAGATGGATCTTGATGTTTGGGATTCCTTATTGCTTTGTGGTGTCGACGGCAGCGTCGTCCTGACTACAGGTGGGCGCTGACAAGGGATTCCTTATTGCTTTGTGGTGTCGACGGCAGCGTCGTCCTGACTACAGGTGGCGCTGACAAGGGATTCCTTATTGCTTTGTGGTGTCGACGGCAGCGTCGTCCTGACTACAGGTGGCGCTGACAAGGGATTCCATATTGCTTTGTGGTGTCAACGGCGGCGTCGTCCTGACTACAGGTGGCGCTGACAAGGCAATTAATGTCTCTTGGATTCTATTACATTTTGAAAGTGAAATGTATTTTGATCAACAATGATATATATATATATATATTATATAATATATATATATATATATATATATATATAATATAATATATATATATATATATATCATAGCGAAACAAGCCTGAATGGTCCCCAGGACAATATGCAACAATATGCAAATAGCCTCGGCTATCAACCTCATTTTGTCCAGTCGTGATGGTCAAGTGGATTAAGGCGTCTTGTACATACCAGTTGCGTTGCTTCTGGAGAGTATGGGTTCGAGTCCTTCTTCTGGGGTGTGAGTTTTCAGTTATATATATATATATATATATATATATATATATATATATATATATATATATATATATATATATATATATATATATATAATGCACAACTTGCCTAAACACGCAAGAGAAGTTATACAACCTTAGAAAACTTTCCCAACAGGAGATTCGAACCCTAGCCAGCACAGAAGCCTACACAGCAAACTGGCATAACTGGTACGCTTATAACCCACTGCACCACAACTCAGACCCTTAAAGAGATGGTAATTTTGGAGTATTTAAATCCCCCAATGATCACCACCTCCCAATGGCTAGGGTTCGAATCTCCTGGTGGGAAAGTATTCTAAGGTTGTATAATCTCTCTTGCGTGTTTAGGCAAGTTGTGCATTAAGCATAGACACAGAGTTCTCCCATATTAACAGGAATTAATGGTGGTCCACTGCCACCCACAGGATGGGTATGGGGGTCCACTACCACCCACAGGATGGGTATGGGGGTCCACTGCCACCCACAGGATGGGTATGGGGGTCCACTACCACCCACAGGATGGGTATGGGGGTCCACTACCACCCACAGGATGGGTATGGGGTCCACTACCACCCACAGGATGGGTATGGGGTCCACTACCACCCACAGGATGGGTATGGGGGTCCACTACCACCCACAGGATGGGTATGGGGGTCCACTACCACCCACAGGATGGGTATGGGGTCCACTACCACCCACAGGATGGGTATGGGGTCCACTACCACCCACAGGATGGGTATGGGGTCCACTACCACCCACAGGATGGGTATGGGGGTCCACTACCACCCACAGGATGGGTATGGGGTCCACTACCACCCACAGGATGGGTATGGGGTCCACTGCCACCCACAGGATGGGTATGGGGTCCACTACCACCCACAGGATGGGTATGGGGTCCACTACCACCCACAGGATGGGTATGGGGTCCACTACCACCCACAGGATGGGTATGGGGTCCACTACCACCCACAGGATGGGTATGGGGTCCACTACCACCACAGGATGGGTATGGGGTCCACTACCACCCACAGGATGGGTATGGGGTCCACTACCACCCACAGGATGGGTATGGGGTCCACTACCACCCACAGGATGGGTATGGGGTCCACTACCACCCACAGGATGGGTATGGGGTCCACTACCACCCACAGGATGGGTATGGGGTCCACTACCACCCACAGGATGGGTATGGGGTCCACTACCACCCACAGGATGGGTATGGGGTCCACTACCACCCACAGGATGGGTATGGGGTCCACTACCACCCACAGGATGGGTATGGGGGTCCACCTACCACCCCACAGGATGGGTATGGGGTCCACTGCCACCCACAGGATGGGTATGGGGTCCACTACCACCCACAGGATGGGTATGGGGTCCACTACCACCCACAGGATGGGTATGGGGTCCACTACCACCCACAGGATGGGTATGGGGTCCACTACCACCCACAGGATGGGTATGGGGTCCACTACCACCCACAGGATGGGTATGGGGTCCACTACCACCCACAGGATGGGTATGGGGTCCACTACCACCCACAGGATGGGTATGGGGTCCACTACCACCCACAGGATGGGTATGGGGTCCAATACCACCCACAGGATGGGTATGGGGGTCCACTAATCCCCTGGTGGGAAAGTGTTCTAAGGTTGTATATATATATATATATTATATATATATATATATATATATATATATATATATATATATATATATATATATATATATATGAATGAAAACTCACACCCCAGAAGTGACTCGAATCCATACTCCCAGGAGCAACGCAACTGGTAACTACAGGGCGCCTTAATCCACTTGACCATCACGGCCGTCAAAAGGAAGTGATAGCCGAGGCTATTTGAGCCACTTCCCCGACGGCAACTCGGATGGTAATCTTGGGCATAGCATTTCACCAAATCACCTCATTCTTTGGGGCACACGTGAGGAACACAAATGCGAACAAGCCTGAATGGTGTGCCCCTCACGTGTGCCCCAAAGAATGAGGTGATTTGGTGAAATGCTATGCCCAAGATTACCATCCGAGTTGCCGTCGGGGAAGTGGCTCAAATAGCCTCGGCTATCACTTCCTTTTGACGGCCGTGATGGTCAAGTGGATTAAGACGCCCTGTAGTTACCAGTTGCGTTGCTCCTGGGAGTATGGGTTCGAGTCACTTCTGGGGTGTGAGTTTTCATTCGCATATAGTCCTGGAGACCATTCAGGCTTGTTCGCATATATATATATATATATATATATATATATATATATATATATATATATATATATATATATATATATATTGTGACAGGAAAGTGTTGGAGTGTAGATGTTCGGCAGTCCTCCAATGACAGGTGTCAATGCCTGTCACATTTACAAAAAAAAAAAGATAGACTGCTTGCCTGTTGTCTGTGGTAAGTGAGAGGGAGGAACACGTAAAACACAAAGTATGAACAATGAAACTTTAATTAATATAGAAAACAAAATATGAACAAAGACAATCCCTTGGCTTATGTGTAGTGCAAATGAACAAGTCAAAAAACAATATAACATAAATGATTAATAGGGATGAAGTTTACTCTACAATAATATCAATATACAGTGAAAAATAAGCAGGTGCTGAGAATATTGGCTATGGCTGAGACCTCCCTTAGTATACAGAGCCAGAGAGCTTAGTATGCCAGAGAGAGATGTCAACTCTTCCAGCACAAAGAATATTCTGAAGTTAATGGCTGGTTCAAGCTCAGACATCGACTCAGGTAGATGGCGCTGAGGTGCAGTGTGCAGGTGTGCAGTCGGCGAGTCACCAATCAGGAGCAGGCAGGCTGGGAAGGGTAGTTGGCTGCTTGATGACGAGCCGGCGTGGAGGGTGTGTGGAGTTGGGGGTTATTCTTGGATACGTTTTGCCTCCTGGTCAAAACGTTTTGTGCTACTGGTGGACGTATCTTGAATGTAGCATCTTATACTGTTAACTGGACGTAACTTGAGGTAGGGAAGAGCAGGCTCAATCTCTCTTGAAAGAGATTATCGTCACAATATATATATATATATATATATCTATATATATATATATAATATATATATATAATATATATATATATATATATATATATATATATATATATATATATATATCACCAAGACGCCATATTTGTCCTGCAGGCTCTGGCCTGACGGCTGAGTGGACAGCGTTCGGCGTTCGTAGTCCTGAGGTTACGGGAAGGAGAAGACAACGTGTGCAAGGGGGTCCGGCATCGTCCGCGTATTGACCGTGTTTATGACCGGTGGATAATATTCCTCTTACAACATAGTGCTCTTGAGTGTTGCAGAGATGGAACACTCTATAGATCAGTATTGCCACGGCACAGCTGCTAGG